TTTAATACAAAGTCCTATAGGTTACGACAGATTGGCAACCATTCCAAACAAATCTCCTTCCATGCCTTGGGGTTGTCCAGGCCTTAGACATAGTCAATAAAAAGTCAAGTAAAACCCACCAATATAGATAGCAACCATGCTAGACCAGGCCTGCCCCACTTGGTACTATGGTAATACTACATCTCACCCTTTTCTTACTGAGAGGAGGAAAGAGTATTTTCTCAACTGTCTCTTCTCCTCGGTTCTGTGGGGGGTTTTTTGTTCTTTTTCTTTCTCTTCCTCTTGTTTTTCCTTTTTTTCTTCTTCATGACATTTACAAATGGTATGCAAAGCAAAGCACTTTACATATCTTATAGCACTAGATGAAGTTGCGGATACCAAGCTTATCAAATCTGCAGCTCATAAGAATTTGGGATGATCGCTAGCACTAAGACTGGATTCAGAAAGAGAAAAAAAAAAGGTTGAAATCATGAATTGACTCCAGAAATATGAAATTTAATAAATTGCAAATATAAAAATCCTACATGTGAATGCAAAAAACCAGCTGTCCAAATGAAGGACTGGGGGGACTTGTATAAATAACATTTGGTGTGAAATAGATCTGGGGGTTTTCTTAATAAGGGCCAACAGTATGACAGGGCTGCATCCAGGGAGTCACAGGGTCCATGTTCAGGAGATGATAGCACCCTTGGGGAGGGCCATGGGAGTTGTTTATAAGTATTTGAAGGGCTGTCACATGAAAGAAGGATAAGACTTGTTCTATTTGGCTCTAGTGAGAGGACCAGGAGCAGTGGGTGGGTTGGGAGGGTGTTCAGGGAGGCACAGTGAAGCTGGGTGTCAAGAAATACAAACTCCTAACAATGAAGTTATCCCAGATAGCTGTTCTCAAGTGCAATGGTCTGCTTTGAGAGGTAGTGAGTTTAACATCACTGTAGGTTTTCAATCAAAGTCTTCGTGACCACTCTGCCTTTTTTTTTTTTTAGCCTGAACCTGAGTAACTACCCTTCCTTGGTTGCTTCCATTAATCTCTTTTTCCTTTCCTACCTCAGCCCTGTCTGAGATCTCAGTTGAGAGGCCTGGGGTGTCTTAGCGTCGGTTCTCCAAGTAAACTGGGACTGCTGTAACAGTGACATCACTCTGAATTCCCTTCTCTGATTGGACAGCAAGTCCCTGTAATACTTGTTGAGTCCCTGAGTCCACTGAGCTGGATGGTTTGGGTACCTCCAAAAGGCCTAGACTGTCACCACCATAATCTGTCTACTTTCAGGAATCTTATTTTCTGGTGATTTTTATGAATGTTTGCATATTCTGTCCCCATCTCATTCTCTGCCTTGCCCCCTAAATTAAACTCTCAGAGAGGGTAGGGACTGGAGTTTACTCATCACTGTACAAGGTTCTGAATTTTTTTTTCCATGGGAAATAGGGATAATACTCCAGTTTGGCCTAAAACTGAAGACTGCATCAGTGATGTTTTAACTCATGGTAGTGATGGTGGTGGAGGAAAGGACATATCCCTATCAACAGCAAAGAGTGTTCCTCGCATCCAGTTGGAGGATAGTTACCATGGAGACTGTCTAGACAGAAGAGAAAATAATGAGCTATCTCCTCAGGGAAATGTACTGCAGTGCCCTATTGTCCAATCAGGGCTTTCCATTTCCAGACTTCTGTTGTTATGGCAACATCTCAGTACTGGCCAGAATACCAGCCTTAGGATGCTGGTCTAGGGTACATCAGGAATTCTGGGTTTGGGTTTTTATGGGGTACTCAGTGCCCCATGTATGGGAACCTCCTTTATTAGGAGGACAAGGATGCTGAACTGGGAGACAAGAGACCAGGGTGTTATACTGTTCAGGTTTGCCATTCACTTTCTGGATCTCAGAGTCCTTCCCCATTACATGAGGAGACCCAGCTCTGACATTCTTTGTTTGTCCCAAGCTGATACATACACCGGACATGGCACATAGCAGACACTCAAGAAATGCTGGTTAAGTTGAATTGAATTGGGAATTGGATTCTGGCCCCAGCTCTCCCACTGAGGTACCATGTGCTTTCAAACAAGTCACTTCCCTAACTAGGTGTCAGTTTCTTCATTTGTGAAGTAAGGAGTTTAATCTCTGCCTTGTCTAGCTCCCTTATCCCTTGGAAAAGTAGAATGAGAAAATAGTCATGATGCTGCAGTAGAAAATAACAACTACAATCACAAAAATAACAACAGTTAACATTTATGAAGCACTGTGCACCGTTAGAGAGCTTATTATTAAATTAACCAGCAGCTCATTAGCTCTCCTTCCTTTCCAGTTCTCTACCCCCACTGTGGCCCTTCACCATGAAGCTGAATTTCACAGGAAAAAATACCCCTTGAGTTAACAGTGCTCACTGGCTTCATTTCATCTTCTCTCTCCTGGGTCTGTCCACCAAGGTGGCTGAAGTTGGGGAAGGGGATGAACCATTGTGGCCATTGGATCTTGAGGAAGGTGGGGAGAAGACCAAGTCAGAGCATCAGGGCCTTTATTTGGATGCTTGTCCTCACATACCAGGCCCCATTCAACAAATCTGTCTCATTGTAGCACATGATTTAGGAACTGATATATTAAGATCCTTAGTCTCTTCTGACTGGACAATGGAATCACAAGGTTTTATACATGTCTTAACTTACAATTTTCCACTGGTGGCCAAGCTTGTGTTCTGAAGAGAGGGAGAAAGTTTTTTTTTAAGTCAAAATAATGAGGATGACCATGGTCCCTGATGACCACAGATGACTTTTAAATTTTAGAGGCAGCTAAATGGCTCAGTGGATAGAGAGGTACAGTGTCCAGGTACAGGAAACCAGAGGCCTCTGCCTAGACTGATGTCTGCCCTGTCTAGAATGCGGCTGGAATATTATATTCAATCCTGGGTGCCACATATTAGGAGGGATATTGATAAGTACGAGCATGACTAGTGGAAGAAAATGCAATGCTCTGCTTTTAGAGGTAGTATGTTTCCTATAACTGTAGATACTCAAGTATTTTCTCACTGGCTTGTCCCTGAGTTATTACCTTTCCTTGGATGCCCCATTGACCTCTTTCTCCTTTCCTATACCAGTCCTATCTGAGATCTGTACATAGAAGCCTCTGGTCTCTTAGCACCAGCTCTCCAACTAAAATGGGACTGTATTTATAATAGTGGCATCCCTCTGAATGCCCTGATCTGTTTGGACAGAAAGCCATGAGATGCCTCTCTAGCGCCTAAATCCCCTGAGCTTGCTTATTCCAGAACCTCCCAAAAGCCTAGACTGTCACTGTTGTAATCAGCCCTTTTGGACCAGGGAATCTTTTGTCCTTGTGTTTTATTTTTTTAATGAAAGTGTGCATGTTCTATACCCATCTCACTCAATGCCTTACTTCCTCCAATTAGACTGAACCCTCAGAAAGGGCAGGGACAAAGGTTTACTCATCATTTCACAAGGCTCTAAATTTTCCATAAGAAATAGGGATAACTCACCCAATTTGTTCTAAAATTGAAGACTGAGTCAGAGGTGTTTTAATTCCTAGTGGGAGGGTAGGACATCCACCTATCATAAGCAGAGCATTCCTTGCATCTGATTGGAGGACAATTACCATGGAGACTGTCTAGACAGTCTTGAAAACTGTGACCTATCTCCCTTAAGGTGCTCCAGGGCTAAGGAGGTGCCTCACCTATAAGTGCCCTGTTGTCCAGTCAAGGTTTTCCATTTTTCAGACTTCTGTTGCCATGGCAACATCACAGGGCTGTCAAGATTGTCAGTCTTAGGATGCTGGTCCAGGGTAGGACAGGCATTTTGGAGTGTGCAGCTCTGGGCTTTATGGGGCTCTCTGTGAGCATCCATGGGAGCCTGCTTTATGGAGAGGTAGCAGAGTGCAGTGGTAAGAATGCTGCACTGGGAGACAGGAGACTAGGGTGTTATATCATCCATATTTTACCATTGACTTTCTGAGATTCAGAGTCTTTTAAATCTATCCTCAGACACATTAACTTAGTTACCCTGGCCTAGTTACTTCCCTTCCTGTCTGCCTTGGTTTCCTTATCTAGCAATTACATGACGAGGCTGTAGCAGGTTATTTCAAAGATCCCCCCAGCTTTGACATTCTTTGTTCTGTGTTCCAAGGGTGTTCCCTGTGCTGATTTCTAACACACTGTGTGTGAAGCACTGTGCACAGATAGACATCTTATTTTTGAATTAACAAGCAGCTCACTAGCTAGCCTTCCTTTCCAGTTCTCTACCTCCACCATGGCTCTGGCTAGCCACAGATTCGTGATGAATTTCCCAGAAAAAAAATATTCCTGAGTCATTCTGCTGTCTGACTGTTTCATCTCCTCCCTCCTGGTCTGACCACCAAGGGAGCTGAAGGTGGGAGTGGGGGGAAGGACACTGTGGTCTCGGGTCTTGAGGAAGGTGTGGAGACGACCAAGCAGGAGCATCAACGGCCCGCATTTCAATGTCCTTCCTCCCAGGCTCCATTCAGCACATCTGTCTCATTGCAGTACATGGTATAGGAAATGATATTAAGCCCGTTGGGTTCCTCTGCTTGGAGAATAGAGTAAAAGTTTTTATACATGTCTTAACTCAAAATTTTCCACTGGTGGCCGAGCTTCTTCTGTACTGAAGAGAAGAACATTGTCTTACAGTAAAAATAACAGAGATGACCAGGGCCTCTGAGGGCCACAGGAGACTTTCAGATTTTAGAGGCAGCTAGTTGTCTCAGTTAAGAGAGGAGTAGGCTTTGAATCAGGAAGACGCGAGTTCAAATCTAGCCTCAGACACTTAGCTGAGTGGCCTGGGCAAGTCCCTTTCCCTATGTCTGCCTCACTTTCCTTGTCTATAAAATATGGTTAATAATAGCCCCTCCCTTCCAGGGTTGTTGTGAGGATGAAATGAGGTAAGGTTTATAAAGCACTTAGCACGTTGCTTGGCACATAGTAAACACCATGTAAATGTTTGTTATTGTTTTTGCTGATGCTGTTGTTATTTTCCCTTGCAGGATCAGGACCATTTTCTCATTCTACCCTTTCAAGAGATCAGGGAGGCAGCTAAGTCATTTCACAGATGAAGAAACTGAGATCCAGTAAGAGGCACAGTGAATAGAGTTGCAGGTCAGGAGTCATGAAGACTCATCTTTGTGAGTTCAAACCCAGCCTCAGACACTAACTAGCCATGTGGCCCTGGGCAAGTCACTTAACCTTGTTTGGCAAACCATTCTAGTATCTTTGCCAAGAAGACCCCAAAGGGGGTCGCAGAGAATCAGACATGACTGAAATGACTGAACACCAACAAGGGCAGTTCTTGCTCAAGGTCATGTGGTAACTCAGGAAAAGAGGTGTGGCCAGAATCCATGCAATTGCTCCAATGAGTCTACTGTGTGACAAACCCTGTGCGTGATAGTGGGAGGAATATGACACAGAAGATGCAGTCCTGACCTTCAGGGATCTTACAACTTGGCAAATGCTATCAAGATACGGATGATGTCTGATATCAGAAGTTTACATAGGAAGTTTAATTCCTGTCTCCTACCGAATTTGAGTTGGCATTTCAAATGTAAAATTCCAGGGTCAGGGTGTGGGATGTATGTGTGGTAAAATATAAAAACCTATGGACTTCACTTGAGAGAATAACTCAAGATCATTTCCTTGTCACTAGAGCAGAACCAATAACCATGCTCTACAGTTTCCAAACTGAGTTTTGAGAAGGGGTGTGGCCCATGCCCCTGCTCCACCAATCACCGTTCTGGAGTTCACTTCCCTCTGCTGTCCCTATCCCGAAAAGAGGGAGCATCTCTAACACATATCAGATATGGGAGTTCTATACAAAAGAAGGGAAGCTGGGAAATTACTGCAATGCAGTCTGGTGAGCTACTGATGCTGCTCAATTGTCTCAGTATTAGATGCATGTTTTGAGATGAGAAATATACTCATTCCCGTCTCCAGGTAGCTGCAGAGACTGTTTTTAAATAAATTTCCTTTAGACACATGCATCTTTTGTTTATTTTTCTTTTAAATGGTATTTTATTTTTTCCAATTGCATGTGAAGACCATGTGAAAGATTCATTTTTTGTATAAAATTTTGAGTTCCAATTTTTTTCCCTCCTCCCTTTCCCCCTCTCCAAGACGGTAAACTCTTTGATATATCTTATATGTGTGTAATTATGTAAAACATATGTCCATATTAGTCCACGTGTATCTTTTACATGGACTTCCTTTTTCTCTCCCTAATTTATGGTTGCCACATAATCTGTCCTTTTGGGAGCCATTTCCTATCAGATGAAGGAATTTAAAGGAATAAGAGAATGTGAACAAACCTTTTCTTCATTTTCAAATTCCTTGAACTCAGGGAGACCCTAAGTATTTCTAATTTAGAATTCCAGATCAGCAAGAGATAGAAAGGGCGAAAGGTACCATTCTCATTCTGGCTCCATGCAAGAGACAGAGGCTGTGTTTGGGGCTCCCAGTTCAGAAAGCTGAGCTTGGGGAACTCCAGTCAGATAGAATTGCTTGGGAGTGAAGCATTACCTAGTTTGGGACTAGGTAGTTGTCCTCTGGTTGGGCTTTGAAGGACCCATCCTTTGGGTATTATTCTTGAATTTTTATATTTTCTTTTTTTTGTGTATAAAAAAAAACCCTTAGAAAATTCATCCTTGAGTTACAGTCTCAGAGCACATGGACATAGGGGTGGGGGACTGGGGCATAAAGGGAAATAGGTGACAGCTGCTACAGTTAGGCATCCAGTTATAAAAACAGTTATAAAAACAGGGAAAAATGTAAGTGAAAATGAAGACGGAAAGAGAAAGAGGAAGGAAGAGAAGGAGGAAAGGAGGGAGAAAGAGAGAGAGGGAAAGAGGGAAGAAAAAGGGGAGAGGAGAGAGAGAGAGAGAGAGAGAGAGAGGAGAGAGAGAGAGAGAGAGAGAGAGAGAGAGAGAGAGAGAGAGAGAGAGAATCTTGTACAGAGGGGCATATCATAGACATAGTATCCCTGGATTTCAATGAGCATTTGTGTCAAGTATTTATATGGAACGAATATGAGCATCTCAGCTCACATGCACAAACTATATATAGCATAAATAAGATACAATTAATGGAGAGTAGACACTAGCATTCAGAGGAGTTGGGAGGGGCTTTGATAGAAAATGGGCTTTTAGCTGGGACTTAAAGGACGGCTGGGAAAGCAGCAGGCAGAGAATAGAAAGGAAAGCATTCTGGACATGGAGGATTGACCAAGAAAATGCCTGTAGCTGAGAGATGAAGATGGGAATGATTCAAGACTGAGTCTTAATGGTACTCGATGTGCAAAATGATAGAGGGGACTAAGGAATGAAGTGAGGAAGACAGTGTGGAACTGAATTGGTTTACCAAAGGGTCGAGATGAGGAAAAGAGAAGATGACGGCTGAGTAGGTGACCTGGGAGGGAATAGTGAAACCAAGAAAAATCATAAATATTGAAATGGAAATCCACTCTGAGGGAGGTGCCTAGTGGATTGCTCCAAGGACTTGTCCTTCATCATGGCTTGTTCTTTTTCTTCCTTTTCTTCCTCTTGTTTTTTCTTCATGACTTTACAGAAGGACTTTCAGGTTTTGTGCCAGTAGATGAAGTTTAGACATCAAGCTTATCGAATTTGTAGCTCAGTAGATTTTGTAATGATTGGGAACATTAAGACGGGATTCAAAAGATTTCAAAAGGCTCAAATGAGGTTGACTCCAAAAAGGCAAGGGATGGCCTGTCTAGTCAACAGACGGTATGAAATAGATTTGGGGATTTTAGTGGATCACAAGCTTAATAACTAACAACAGTGTGACAAGGTGGCCAAAAAGAGCCACAACAATCTAGGGATGCTTCCACTGGGTGGGTGGGTGGAGGATTTCAGAGAAAAAAATTCTTAAAAATGAAGCCATACCAAACAGCTATCCCAAAGTGCAGTGGTTCCTCATCACTGCAAGTTTTCAGGCAGACTCTTCATGGCCACTCTGCCTTTTCTCTCTGGTTTGTCCCTAAAGAGCTTCCTTTCCTTGGATGCCCCCATTAACCTCTTTCTTACCCCAACCCTGTCTGAGATCGCAGTTTAGGGGCCTGCTGTCCCTTAGTACCAGCTCTCTAACTAAACTGTAATTGTTGTCATGAGTGGTATCCCTTTGAATGCCCTGCTTTATCTGTATAACAATTTACTGTGTTGCCTTTCTGACCTCCAAGTTCCCTGACCTTAATGTTTCCGGAATCTTAGAGAGGCCTAGACTGCTGCCATTGTAATAGGTCCTTTTGGTTCAGGGAATCTTCTTTCCTGATGATTTTTACGAATGTGTTCATATTCTGCCCCCACCTCACTCACTGCCCTGTTTCCCCCAACTACAGTAGACCCTCAAAGAGGGCAGGGACTGGAGTTTAATCATCATTGTACCAGGCTCTGAATTTTCTACATGAAATAGGGATGACTCCCCCAATTTGGTCTAAAATTGAAGACTGGGTTAGGGGATGTTTTAATTCATGGTGGTGGTGATGGTAGAGAATAGAACAGATCTCTCAAAAGCAAAGGGTATTCTTTGCGTCAGATGGGAGGATGGTTACCATGGAGACTGGCTAGATAATTGAGAAAGTGAACTATCTCCCTCAGGTAAATCCACTGCAGTGTCCTGTTGTCCAATCAGGGCTTTCCATTTTTCAGACTTCTGTTGCTATGGCAACATCTCAGTGCTGGCCAGAATACCAGCCTTAGGATGCTGTTCTAGGGTGGGCCAGGGACTCTGGAGTTCATGACTTTGGCCTTTATAGTACACTCTGTGCCCATGTGTGGGAACCTGCTTTATTGAGAGGTAGCAGGATGTAGTGACAAGAATAGTGAACAGGGAGATAGCGAGGGAGGGTGCTTTATTGTTCGGGTTTAATCATTGATTTTTTCTGAGTCCTTCCCTATTACATGAAGAGGCTGCAGTAGGTTGTTTCTAAGATCCTTTTCAGCTCTGACATTTTTTTTGTTTGAAGTTTAAAGGCTATGCCCTGTGCTGATATTCTAACACTCTGTGTGCAGCGTTGAGCGCAGGTGCAGAGCTCGTTATGCAATTAACCTGCCGTTCCTTAGCTCCCCTTCCTTTCCAATTCCCTACCCCCACCATGGCCCTGGGTAGCTAAAGCTTCATAGAGAATTTCCATGGCAAAAATAACTCTATGCTGATCCTGCTCTCTGATTGTCTTTCATCTCCTTCCTCTTGGTCTGATCACCAAGGCAGATGAAATCAGGGCTGGAGGGAGAGAGGAACTGTGGTCTTGAAGATATGGAGAAGATGGAGCAGGAGAATCAGGGCCTGTATTTCAATGTTTGTCCTCAAAGACCAGCCCCCATTCAACACATCTGTTTTATTGCAGTGCATGGTGCTGGAAGTGAAATTCACCCCCTTGGGCTCTTCTGTGTGGTCAATGGAATCACAAGGTTTTAAACATATTTTAACTTAGAATTACTCACTGATGACCAAGCATATTGAATTGTTAAGAGAAAGAGAAGATTTTATTAAGGTCAAAATGATGGAGATGACCATGATCTCTTATGGCCACAGAGCATGTTTAGATTTTAGGGAGAGCTAGTTGGCTCTCCCTATCCACCGATAGAGCTCTAGTCCTGAAATCAGGAAGACTTGAGTTCAAATCCAGGTTCAGATACCTATGAATGGTGTAAATCTGGGAAAGTCACTTCCCCTCTGCTTCAGTTTCTTTATCTATAAAATGGGGATAGTAATAGCACCTACCTCCCAGGGTTGTTGTGAGGATCAAATAAGATAATGTTTATAAAGCAGCACAGTGCCTGGCACATAGAACCTGATCAAATCTTCTCCTCACTTACATAATCCTCGAACTCAGGGAGCCCATGATTGGCTCTGATTTAGGATCCTAGATCAACAGGAGATTGTAGCAGCAGAATGTACTATTCTCATTCTGACTCCATGAGAGAGGTAGAGGCTGTGGTTTGGGGCTTCCAGTCCAGAAAGCTGAGCTTGGGGAACTTGTGAGAACAAATAACTTGGAAGTGAAGCCACTCAGCCTGGGACCAGAATGTTTTATTCTGTGTGGATTTTGAAGTACCTCCCTTGGTGTGTTATTTATGAATTTTTGTATTTTCT